GGTTGCCATCCGATCGGAATGCGCTATGCGCATTCGCCTTGGTCTGCCTCAAGCCTGGTCCAAGTGTCCGGCCACAGCCGCGGAATAAATGACCCACAGATAAAATGGCCTCCTATTCGTCCCTAATTAACACTTTCGCAGCCGGTCATTTCTTTGCGACCCTAAAGCTTGCATCATCGCTGAAAAATCCTTGAATCTCGGATACCTCTGTCGTCGATTGGAATTTCTGCGTTGAAAATCATACTTTTCGGTAGATTCTTTTTTAAGCGTGGTTTGTTATATTACCGTTCTCTAAAGGATTTCGTTGAATCTCGACCTGTATTTTAAAGTTTGAACAGTGACGATCTCGAGCTGACGAGACCTTGACTTTATGACAAATCACGAAAACCTTCGGGAATATTTCGCACCGTGTTGGAAATCTTTCAACTGGCTGCTCTCCACTTTTTGCCTGGACAAACCCTTGCTGGCGATATCGGAGGATTAATATTCGGGCTAATATTCTTGTCAGACATGTTTCTTTCTGTTCGAGATTGGGTGCAGCAACTATTCACCCCCCGAACCAGTACTTCTTTTTCTTCGTATATTAGAATACTCGATGAATCGAAAGGTAGCTCGTAGCGTGTAGTTGTATTCACCTACCTTCTTCCTAGCCATCGTTCGCTACGACGGCCGAAACGAAAGCACAAACCAACGGAAGCACACATCAAACAAAACCATGCAGTAACTGAATTAAAACGTAATTACAAATAGAACCTACAACCTAATCGCGAATCGTGACGAGACTCCACGTCAAGAACGACGATTAAAACGTAGCAACCCCAACCGTCTTCGCGAATACAAAATCAAAATATCCAACTTCGCAAGTTCTCTCAACCGTGGAACCTTAGCAAATCATTAAATAAAATAGGAAGAAACCCAGTAGTGAACACACAACTAAACAAACTGTTTTCCAACGAGCAATCGTCAATCAGTACACACCAAACACGCATCCACTCATCGGAAGACAAGGGTTAATAAAGTGAGAGGGTAACAGTAAATCCAGGCAACAATGAAAACTTTATTCTGGTTAGTAAGGATCGTCGAGGAAGAAGCGGTTAAAGATCGGCCGATCCTCGATCCCGATCGAATGTGGAATAAGAATTCAGACGACGGGGTGTATGCGGGTGTCCAGCAATCGATGCGATGCTCGTACCGTCACAGTGTTTACAGCGCTTCGCCCTCGGCTCAGGCATTCTGCGGTGACCTCGTGACCTCACCGATATTCCATCGTCGGCCCCTGCACTGTACACACCGCGGGCACACAGAGGAGACACGGGTCACGCACGCACGCACGCGCACGCAGCCACGCACGTGCACTCTCCACCGGGGGGGTAAGTAGCTGCACGCGTGCTACCAACGGCGACGATGTACAGAAGAGGGCAACCGACACAGCGGAGGGAGAGGGAGCGAGCCGATAGAGAAAGAGAAAGGGAGAGAGGGAACGCGCGCGCGTCCTCTTCAAGAACAGCCTCCTTCTTCCTCTTCTTCCTCCTCCTCCTCTTCGTCTGATTCTGGTTCACGCGGCCGGAGCAGGAGCCACCGTTTCGTCGACAGACACATCGGCCTCTCTCCAAAGATCCCAGCTCGCTGTCACTGGCCTGACATTACTTGTCCAGGCGATGCTACGATCGAGACCGGCGGCTACGTGCCACGACACCACGATGATCCTGACGCGAACTGCGGATTAGCCGGTTCGATCATCGCGACGCGGATCCGTGGGGTTACCTCGACCGCGAACTTCTTGGAGACATCGGGGATCGGTTCACTGGGATCGGCGCATGACGTTCGGTTCCGGAGAGCTAGGTCACTAGAGCTTGATCTTGAGAACTGATCTTGTAGTTTATGATTCCTAGGTATCTACTGTTCACTTGGTCACTGGGTCACTAAGGTCTTAGGCCTAGAAAGGTCGAAGTCTTCGAGTTCCTTTTTGGAGGTGATATCGATGGTATTTGGTTCACTGGAGGTTATGTTGTGGGTAGTTTAGGATTAGGTGTTCGAGTGGATGTCTAGAGTTCACTTGGTCACTGGGTCACTAAAGTTTGTGTCTTCAGTGGATCGTGCTGACGCTTGTAATCCCTTTTGCGATGGGAACCTTGACGGTTTGGAGCTAACGAGAGCTTATCTTATTTGATTATCTTCAAGTGATCGATACTTAGAGTTCAGTTGGTGGGGTCTAAATCCTCAGACTATTTATGTCGATAGTCGGGTCGTCCGTTTGTGACACTAGAGGCAACGTTATAGAGACCAACGTGAGCTGATCCAGCATCTGCTTTAATATTCTTAGGTAGTTCAATGATTCAGAGTTCACTCGCTAACTAGGTCACTTAAGCGTAAGTCCTTAGCCTACGAAGGTCCATAGAGGATTCTTGTGGTCCGCGGTCCGTGAGCATTTCTGTACAACGTCGAGAGACACTGGAGAGGCTTCCGGTTCGCGGAGCAGCCTTTCTCAACAGGGAATGCAACGTTCTCTCGCCGCGGGAATGATACGTTCAGCTTCGTTTCACTGAGACAACACCTAACTGGGATCCTCTAACGACGAACGCGTTTGCCCGTCTATCTCGCCATGTTGCTCGGCACATCTGTCTCGTCGCCTTCTACATTTTCATCGGTAGATTCGTCGACGGCTGTCCTAAGACCAATTTAGAATCACCGAGAGCATCGATTCCGTCTCCCTTAATACTCTTCCTCCTCCATGGGATTCAAGATCATCCGAGTCTCAGACGATCATCTCATTAATCATACCCACAATCGCCTCTGCAATCTCTCTCATCCAATCCAACGTCTCTTCCTCGGGTATCCTCTTCCAATTCTTCAATCCTCCTCAAACCTGTTCACCGTGCTCCTCAAACTTTCTCGCACAGCCAATAGAATGTTCACTGTTAGTGTCTACAATTAGGTCCAGACTCCCGATGCTTCAGTTTCCCACCAACCCCGAAACATCAACAGAATCTTGATCAATGTTCGACTCCTTTCCAAAAGGAATCTTCAACCCCTATCGACGATCCAACGATCGAACCAACTCAGTCATATCAATTCAAGCTTGCCGATGTACAATTCAAGTTTCCCGCTGCTTCGGATTCTTCTCAGTGCTAGCCACCGCGACCGCAACCCTTAACAACCCTCGAACGACGACACCGAAGTCGATTACTTTCGATCGGGGTCTTCTAGTTTCTCCAGTCTGCAAACCCGTTTATCGTCAGTCGTTGATCTG